ATATATATATATATATATATATATATATATATATATATATATATATATATATATATTATTTTTTCTGCAATCCATGCAGTCCACACATACAAAGAAATGAAACCATAGATGTACAGAAAGTGACTTATTTGTAATAGTTTTACTGAAATTGATTTTATACTATGTACAGAAGCTTTTTTTGGTAATGACAGCTTCAAGACACCTCATGTATGGAGAATTTGTAACAGGCATTGCTCAGGTGTGATTTTGGCCACTTCTTCCACACAAAATGTATTTAAATCTTGAAGGTTATATTGGCCTCTTCTATGAACTCTGATCTTGAATTATTTTTAGATTTTCGACTGGATTCAAGTCAGTTGATCGGCTGGGAGATTCTTGCAGCATTATTTTCTTTCTCTGAAACCAATTGAGAGTTTCCTTGGCTATGTGTTTGGTGTCATTGGCTTGCCGAAATGTCCACACACATTTTATATTCATCATCTTGGTAGATATGATATGATATGTAGAGTTTGTAGAGTTTGTATGTAGAGTTTTATTAGGAATGTCTCTGTACATTTTTCCATTCACCCTTCCTTCAAATATTTGAAGATTGCCAGTACCATATGCTGAAAAAGAGCCCAACATCATGATGTTTAGTGTTTTTGGGGTGATGTGCAGTGCCATTTGACCTCCAAACATGATGTATAATATGACATCATTGGACCAACCTATATTCTCCCAGTATTTCACAGGCTTGTTTAAATGTTGCTTTAAACAAGCTTCAACATGCTTTGCCTTTGGCAATGGAGTCATCCGTGGTGAGCAATTCCAGGTCTTTCTAAAGCCCTCTACAAGTGGTCTTTGGCTCTTAGACAACTCTAATTGTTTTCACTCCTGTGTCAGAAATCTTGAGAGGAGCACCTGGTCATGGTCAGTTAATGGTGAAATTATGTTCTTTCCGCTTCCGGATTATGGCCCCAACAGTGCTCACTGAACCATTTAGAAGTTTAGAAATCCTTCTGTAACCAATGGCATCATTATTTGCAACAATAAGGTTGCAAAGGTCTTGAGAAAGCTCATTACTTTTACTGATCATGAGATGTTTCTGGTGTGATACAAGCGAAACCTTGTTATACCCCATCATTTGGGACTGAACTTGCTGATATTACCGTAATTTGCACTGACAAGGGGCAGGATTGCTTTCTAATTACTGAAAGATTTTGGCTGATGTCTTGGCTATCCATGCTTTTATCCCCCTCTCTTTCTCCACGTTTTCAATAAATTTTCCCTGTGCCGTTTCAGATTTTTACACATAACTCAATTTCTCAATACCTATGGTTTGATTTGTTTGTATGTTGGATTGCAAGGATTGGATTAGATGGATTGTTACATACAGCTGGTAAAAATGTAATATTAAACCACCTCTAAAGATATATTTACTCAGAAAAATGGTGGCTTGTTCAATACTTATTTTACACATTGGGAAACCATTTTGTTGTATAAAAATGTGCAATAAAAATTAAAGGGGCTGTGTTATCATATATTATTATTGCTTAAAGGCATCTAGACCTCTTGAAATCTGCCTAAAATATTATGAAAAATAGTGTTATCTCAGTCATCACAGGCTGGCCATACAGTATGATAAATTCTCATAATAAAGGCTTTAGTTTAAAACGGTTCATTTAAGACTATCCTCTGTGTCTGGAGGATAGTCTTTCAATTTGATTCATAACATGAATCAAATTGAAAATACAGAAAATGAATAGAAATAAGGAAGGTGGTTTATTTTAGGCCACTATTCACTAATTAATTCTACTGGTCTTACATGCCTATTTTAATTCTCCAGGCTTACTGTGGAGGAGCACATTTACTTCTATGCCAGGCTAAAAGGACTTAGTAGCAAAGAGGTTGAGTATGAGATGGACCAGATGATTGAAGATGTTGGTTTACCACACAAGCGGAAGGAACTTGCTAAGAACTTGTCAGGTGAGGCTCGGCATACCATGACTAATCTATGTTACATCTCAGGTAGTATGATTGACATATTACCAACCTATACATTTTGTTTTTATGTGTTTGTATAAGTTTTTCCTAAGAAAGAAATGCTGCTGTTAATCTATTCCTCTCCCCGCACCTACATGGATCTGTCTCCCACATCCACTGTACCTGTGCTCTGTAATTCATTGTCTGGGGGGCACAAGCAGGTCTTGTTTGATAAATTGTCCCAAGTCATGGAATGCTTGTGAGCAAAATCACTGAATTATGACTTTCAAGGTTGATCTATGCTGACATTTCCACTACATTAGCTCCGCACTGGATGCATTTTGAAGAGCCTGCTAAGAGAGAGGAGCTGAGAATTATTGTTGTGAAAGTGTATCTGCCTCCTGGCCATCAATCATTTCACAGCTTCCAAAAGGCAATAAAACACCAAGTGGAACACCTCGTCATACTTATTCCATAATCACATCCCAATATTGTGTCTGTATTGAATTTGAAACTTGATACTGACACACAGTGTGTGTTATGTTGCTTATAATAAACATTGTTCAATACAAATACAAATGTGACTTTCACTTTAGGTTGTGTTTAAGGTTGTGTTTCTAGTGACACAACCTCAAACCTCATGTCCACCTAAACTGTCAGGCTAGGGTAAAGAGACTCTTAACCAGGGGAGCAGCTAAGTAGTCCATTATAACTGTGGAGGAGCTGCAGAATATCTGCAGCTCAGGTAGGAGAATTTGTTAATGGGGCATCAATGTGTCCTTTAACAATCCGTTCCTATAGAAGAGTAGTTTCTTTGAACAAAAGATTGTTGACAATGACATTGAATGCCATGCTTACAGTCGCCCTACAATTCATCGTTATATGCTAATAACAAAACATAACTTATCATTTTAAATCAACTGTTCTCCAGGCTGTGAAGGTATTTCTTTTGTTTTTTCCTTTGACCTTTGGCTGCTTTTTTTTTTTAAGTAGTTGGTAATGAAAGCAAAATCTAAATAGTCTGCCTAAGGGGAAAAAGCAGAAAAGACGGTGAAAAAACATTTGAAAAATATTGATCCAAACCACCACTGAAGATGAAGAGAGTTGTGCAAACTGCATTTTGAAACGATTCTGTTTGTTTAAACCCTTTTCTTCAATGTTTTTAAGGTGGCATGCAAAGAAAGCTCTCTGTTGCCATAGCATTCGTTGGTGGTTCAAAGATCGTCATCCTGGATGAACCAACAGCAGGAGTTGACCCTTATGCTCGCCGTGGGATCTGGGATCTACTGTTAAAGTACAAACAAGGTAGGAAAGAAGAACTTACTACAGCTTTAAAACCTTTTAATTTTTCCAAGTAGGTTGGATTTCTCATGGATGATTTGTTCTGTTTCAAACTAAGAAACCAATCTTGATCTGAACAGAGTACATAGCAGCTGACAGGGCCCGATCTTAAATGCAAGTTATTAAAGCCATTAGGCATTCAGAATGAGTATGAAAGTACTTTTTTAGCCCTGCTGTCAGTAAAAGTCAACCTTTAATGGGGAGAAATTGTGAATTGTACAAACACTGGTCAAAGTGGAAGAGAATACGAGTAGCTTTTATTGACAGACTCCCTAATTGTCTCCTGAATTAGTCAGCCTGTCACTCTCAAGCTTTATATACACTGATTGTTGAAGACTATAAGCAGAGCATGCACATTTTCTCTGCAAATGTCTAAATGTTTAATGTGCACCGAGTGACATTCTACCCTCACTGTGTCATTAGCATCTGCCTCTCTCTAATCAAGCCCTTTTCACTCCAATCGTTAGCTGCAGATAACTCGGTTCTAATGAGAACCCCCACATTGTGGCTGCACAAAATGACTCATTTTTGTTTCTCTCTGGTTTAATTCGAGCCACAGTGTTATAAAGGGTTGTCATTAAGCAAAGGATGGGGAAAAGGCTATGGGGAACCTATTTGTATGAAAAAGCGAAGGCTAAAATTGGATGTTATATTACAGTTCATCACAGCTTTTTAAATGTGGAGGTTTTTCACATGGACAGGTTTGCCAGATGGCTCTGAAGTGGTTGTAGCTTGCATGGTGGATTATTTGTTTGGTGGCACCTTACCTTTTATTCTAAAAATTACTTTTAGGACAAAATACTTTGAATATTGATTGTATATAAGTGATTTTAAAGGTTTTATTTAGATATGAGTGTTAGTTTTATTGATCAAATCCTGACATTTGTTGTCATATTTAATCTTTAACCTACTGAAAAGGTTTATTTAAGGTTTATCCTGGGTTTTATTGCCTCTTCCCTAATATTACATTAGAACCTTTAAACTTTCTTTTTTGTGTGCATGATGAGGTTTCATAATAAAAAAGGTTAACAGAAAAAAAGTAAAAAAAAACAAGTAGAGATAAAAAAAAGTAGAATGTATCATATTTTAAAAGGTTACAGTATGGAACTTAAAAATTATGATTTTTTTTGTTATTTTGCAATAATGGAAGTTGCTTACTTTTCTGTTGCCACAGTCATTATAGTTTAAACCCTGAGAGAAATTTATATCATCAGTGAAAATGTTTGGTATGGGCAGTGTAGCTCCATGCCCAGGATGGACAAGCACTGCTGCCCTAAGAGTAATATGGAAAGGTAGTCAGTCTTGCATTTTTTTGTTGGCTTGTATGTCTGGTGATCTGAAATGTTGTGGTGTAAGAAAACATAGCTGTGCATCCAGTGTTGTTTTTGACAGACATCCTAGATGTAGTCTTAATTTTCGTCTGCAGGACGCAGCAGCACAGCTGATACTGACTAGCTTGTCTAACAGATTACAGCATGATGATGCGTTTTAAACGTCTGACAGACCACCGCTAACGTTTCTATTTAGTCTCTTCCCATCAACGAAAACTCACTAACATGACTCGTCATGTTTTCATAATCAAATATCCATGTTAGTGTCTTAAAAAAAAGGACCGTCAATGAAATTATATCCTCATCGTTCAAGTACACAACATTGGGTGCATCAAGGGTGTTTGAGATAGGTTTAGATCTACAATCTATGCTCATCTGTAGCTTAAAATATAAAATGCATAGATTGGTAAAAATTTAACGGAATAATTAAGTCTTTACCTAATGAATGCATATTCATTATAAAAACAGATATAAAAAACAAGTTTTTCTGCATAGAATAAAAGTAGACAAGCATGGAAATCACATTCACTTTACTAAACTGATCAATCCTGAGGTAAATACAGCTATTAAAAACAAAAGAAAGAACTTATTCTGTCATAAACAGAATTAGCAAAAACAGCACTGATACTTGTAAATAATACAATTAAGACATGAGAGGTCCTTTTTAATCTCTATTTTATTTCACATTTGTATGGGTATCAAAATTGCTAAGAAAGTTTGCAGTGTTATAGTGGCTAAGCGCCTTCTGGAGAATGAAACATCAGTTTCTTAAACTTTAATCGGAATACTACCCTTTCATGTCTATTTCTTATATTTTTCAATATTTTTTTCTAATATATTTTATTAAAAAAAGTTCCCTTCTGTCAGACATTGCCTTATATTATCTTGGTGTTTAAATGTCATTTGTGTATTACTGTTATTTTTATAATTAGAATTGTTTTTCTGTGCAAATATGTTAGTTTTTCCATTGTGTTAGCATTTTGCTTTTTTCCTCTCTCATTCTTAAATGCTGTGTAACGGGCTCACAGTCTGCCCCTATGTGGTAGAATAATTATTAGCTCATTTAATTATAAAATAGTTCCCAACCAGATGAGCCATTGAAAGCATTAAGCATGTGGAGCTAATTAAATCTTCATCAGTACAGGTAGAGCATCTGCATAGAGAAACATTAATTCTGGGTTATGTAGACTTTAGTGTACCAGTTGAGCATATGTGCAGCATATAGTGTCTCCCTATAATGTGAAGCTTATGCCCCAGAATTTTTTACCTTCAACATTTTAGTGGCAGTCTGGATCAGCTGGAGATAACTTTAGATAAGCTACAGCCTAAAAGCAGAAAAACATCTGTATGCCATATAAATGTAAGGAACATAGCTTAGTACTACTAGGGTGGGGTGATGGTAGTAGTTGAATTGCTTTCCTGCAAATATAAACATAGTTCATGTATGTTGAATTACAAAATGCATATTTGGAGGTAATAGAAATGAGTGCAGAATGAATGCAAATAATTTTAGAATAAATGAAACTTTATGCATTTCTGGTAAAAATGTTATTTATTTCATGGTATTTTAACAAAACCTTCGTACCAAATGCTTTCTCTGAGTCAGAGTACTGCAATATGGGTTTTTAGGGCATACATAATCGACATGCCAATTATCCCAATTAATGTTGGGCTGCGTTGTCACTGTTGCAGGGCATATGTGAGGAAAAATATAGTGATAGTTGCATTTTCACAGATTTCTACATATGAGATAGCAAAGAAAGAACAAGAAATATCCTATGAATGTATTCATAACATCTTGCATTGCACTCATGTTTATTTAACAGAAATTGTTTCACAACATTTAAGTGTGACTATAAATTTTTGACATTTTTATAGTGAACGCAGGGGCATCTCATTATTAATACCCAATTGACATGTTGTAAATTATGCTGTCATCATTTTTGATCCATAGTAACTATCAGAAACCTCAGTTAACAGAATTTGGTTATATACTGTATCACAATTCTGAAGTTCATTTTATTTTCATCCTACCTTTCTCAAATACAACATTTCTATCAACTTGATTTAGAGGAAAGGAGAATAAAAGAATCCAGTTTTCCACCACTTCGCTGTATGCATGGCGACTATATATAAGAGCAATTTACCTGAACGCACCCTTGATATATTACCGTATGCTGCAACCTGCTGCAACACCCTATAAATCAGAATACAAATATGGGCCATCTGAATCCAAACATTTTTTATTCTTTCAACTTGCAAAGGATTCAAATCTTTTGCACACAAAAATACATACAGCCAACCCACAAATTTATCTCTCAGGTTTGTACATCCCATGCAATATGAGGCTTGTCAGTTGAACTGAACTCCTTGTCATCCCTTCACTTGCCCCTTTTTTTTTAAAGCATAGTTTTTCTCTTCTTTATGTTAAATTGACTGTCTGCATTTATGAACCTGGATATATTATTGTAGTTTATACAGAAGGTATGCTGTGTTTGCAAGGAATAACATCATGCTGCAGCAATGCTTAACTGTGAAGGGATGGATTAAGCAGCTCAGCTGGTGGCAGGGCAGACATCGGTGTGGAGGGAGAGAGAGAGTATGGAGAAATAGTTGGACAAGCAAAATGGCTGCATTGGGCCACAGTTAATGACCTCTCAGTGTGTCCTTGTCCCTGGGATAATGTGACTTGTGAGGATACAGATTTAACTTTGTGCAAAAACAGCGGAGCTCAGCACAGTGCATGACCCTTTGCAGTAATAACCACCCCAACATTTGTGAGGAAAGGGTGAAAACCCTTGTATGTACTGAATTTAGCTGTCTTATGTCTGACTGATGTCTTAAGATTTTTTCTCTATACATTGGGAGAACTATAGGAAAAACTTCACCCCCCAAAAAACTGACTTTTCTGAACCACAGAAGCAAACTAAAAATATATCTGAGAAATGATTTTGGTTAGAATCCTGTTATACTATTTCCATAATCAACTTTTTCTTTTTTTTATATAGCGGAAACTTTTGAGAAATCAGGAATGATGTACTGTATTTTCCAGACTATAAGCTGATACTCATCTTCCACGATTTGAACCATGTGGCTTATAAGAAGGTGCAGCTTTTCTTTGGATTGTAGAGCTCCCCCTACAGGTTTGGTGGGAGACAGTTCAGTAGATATCAGCGGCTTTTAGCCTGCTGCAGCTTATATATGTATGTTTCAAGTGTTTTCCAAAAACTTAATGGGCACGGTTATATTAAGGTGAGCTCTATAGTCTGGAAAATACGGTAGTTTAGAAAATGAGATAATCAGTTAAGTCCATCTAACAGCTAGGTAGGCTACTTCAAAAAGAGTAAACTACCAAAACTTACTGCAACTTCAGCTCACACCCACAACAGTTAGTGCTTACTATTATTAATTGTACCTATTAAACTGTGAGGTTATACAGTGAACCTTTACAAGATATTTGATTAACATAATGTGCGAGTAGCATGCAAACAATTAATATAGGCATTAATAAAAGATCACTAGAGAAATAATTTCAAAGCTGTTTTATTTCATTGTAATAGAGGTAACAGGTTAAATGTTTCCTACTTAAAACATGACTAGATCAAAAAATCCATTTCCCTCTGATGCTGCTTTCCTGCAGACAGCAGAGACAGGAACACGCTGCGACTTCATTACAGATCTGCCTTTTTTTCCCCTTGCTTTCTGGGGTATGTGATAATTAATATGTGTTATCTGATCCAGCGTGATGTAAAAGGATTAGAACACCTGTGAATAATCGTGCGATTCATGCCGTTTTTATTACTGCAGTTGCATTCAGTTTGATGCCTCTCGAATCAAAGGACTTTGGGAACAAAACATAGAGCTGGAGTAAAATTTGTCTCCCATAGAAATGTTGGAAAGCAGGCTGTGGAAGGCCTTTATTGTTGTTTTAATTATGTCCCAGTTTCAGGCCCACATGCTTTTCTTCAGTTTGCTTTGTTTTCATGCTCAATAGCATGGGTAATGAAAAAAAGAAGAGAAAAAAAAAGATTACAGTGAAATCGACTCTAAAGAGATAAGCGACATCATGCAGAGACAAATTTGATCTACACAGTTATATAGGAAACCTGCCCCTTGGAGCATGGTTATTTCCTCACCAATATTTGTTAGACATAACTGTTGTGTTTCTTCGTAGGTCGAACCATCATTTTGTCCACTCATCACATGGACGAGGCAGACATCTTAGGAGATCGTATAGCCATCATAGCCCAAGGAAAAATGCGATGCTGTGGCTCCTCTCTCTTCCTGAAGAAGTGTTTTGGCAGTGGCTACTACCTGACTCTGGTTAAAGATGAAACAGGAAAGAGGACCAGTCAAAGGAAAAATATTACCCGAACTACATCCAAGGTAAGCATGTGTTTCAAATACCTATTTTTAAACACTATTTATGTTGTCAGCCTTAGCATTTGTGCCTTTGTTAGCAGGCAGAGTTATTAATATTCTGTATAATTAGGGGTTCACTTAAAGCTGTGTTTCCCATTAGATAGTACATGACTATCCTAACATACAAAGCCATAACTCTCCATTGAGATTTATAGAAACAACAGTGAAACCCTGCCTCTCCTTTCTAAATCAACCAGCAGATTTGTTGTGATTTGTCAAGATCAGGGTTTTACAGCATAAGTCAGATTAATTCTATCCCCGCAAACGAGGCACATATCTCATAATCCGCAAATCCAGCTTCTAACATCACAAAATACCCTGGGACAGTCAAACAACTCCGTCATCCCTTATGAATCATTATTCTATGTGAGAATCTAAGTTTATTTAATCGATGTTTTATAATATGACAATACAGTTACAGTCGTTGTTTTACCGCTTTTCCTTAATCTTGCATTTTATGGTTGTAGCTCTCAAAGATTTAAGCACAGATACAAATTTTAAGAAGAAAATTAGTTAATTATGGAAAACATCAGCCCTTTCGTTTATGTGTGTTATTTGTTTGATTTTTAAAAGTGTGCACCTTTACATATGTTGTCTGTGTTTGAAGATGAGAAAGAAGATAATGAGTTCTGATATTACAATCTTGATTTTTCTCTTTGTTTTTATTTTAATGATCACCAAAATATTTTAGGGTTAACATTTGATACTTTATCACAATCACAGAAATACTTCATCCAAATTTTAAGAATTATGGAAATTAATTTAATCAAAAATTCTCATTTACTTTTCTTAAAATACTGTATTAAATAAACCTTCCATGATGCATATGCATAAATTTAATATATCCTTTTTAATTAAAAACCACACTTGCCTGTTTGATGTATTTTAAATTAATTAACTATACTTGATCAAAATGGATGAGTATATTTATGTCAAATACATTGATTATTGAATAATAATCAGGTTATCTTTATGCAATTCAGACAAAAAACTTTGTGTTTTTGATATAGATACACTCATTAGTATTCGTTTTGACCAACTATACTTTATTAATTCAAAATATATAAACCTGTCCTGCTTATCTGTGTAGAATACCTTAAAATCTTTGTTTTTATCATTTTTGTGAAAGCTGAAGAGTTTTATATTAAACTGTATCAGTTTTTTTTTTCATGTTCATTCTAAAGTGGAATGGCTGGTGTTCTTTTTATCATTTTCCATGGAACAAACAAAGACAGAACTCAGGGTTTAAAAATACATGGCTAGAAATTATTAATGAACATGTGATGCTAAGTGATACCAAGTGAAAGTTCTTTTTTTTTTTTTGGAAAGATGTGCTTGATCTATAGTAGATGTAGCAGAATGAACACCTTCCAATATTGTAGGTTCCCCTTGTTTCCTGCCATTCCTCAGTATGTTTTTCCTATTGTCTCGTCGGTCATCAAGCTGCTGCTTGGCAACTGAAGGCCTCTCTTTTGTTGGGGAAGCCACTCGTCTATCGTGGTACATGTCTCACTGCTTGACTTTTAGCAAGCCCTTCGGGATGTTTGGAGAGTTTGGTGTCAAGTGTGTGACGGATCTGGTGTGATTGTGGTGTATGGCTTGCCAGGTCTTTGCTTTGGCAGGCTCTGGCATAGCTGCCTTGGGGGCAGGGGGTGTTGTTGTGTATTCTTCCTTGGCAGCATGGCTAGATAGAGCCATTGTATCCTGGGAGGCTCGCTGCAGGTGGGTTGGGGATCCACTCGGGGCTGGGGAATCTTTTTGTGCAAGCCACATTGATTAAGCAGACATGGGTCGTCTCGTGGTATGGGTGCCAGTGTTGGGGCTGCACTAAAATGACAGTGGGCGCTAGCTGTTTGTGGGGAGCCAATCTGCTCCCTCTAAACTGACCCATTGATATTGGCATATGGAGTTCATGGTTTCTGGACTAGGCTCGATTTACAGTAATTGGCTCCACAGAGATTTTGTGGCGGTAGGTGGTCAGCTGTCTGTGGGATTATAACGGGCACATTATTTTGGCGGCATGGAGGTATTTCCATCCTGGGGTTGATGTCATGGGTTGGGGGCACAGTAGGAATTGCCCATAGGGACCTGCTGGGTCTTCCAAAGGTGTTAAACAACCTTTCTTTAAACTGTTTTAGGATGTAAAGACAAACACATACATACAAACTCACCTAATTTACTAAATATATATATATGTGTGGAAATACCTGCAAGCACATTATTTTAGGCACACAGAATAGGCACAGGAGAATACAAAATTCTGTCTTATACTGCCTTTTAAATGAAATAAAAAATCGTCTTTGATGTCTCATTTGTAAAAGTAATTTTGTAATTGCTGGAGTTATATTTATGAGTTATTTGATAAAAGCTCTAGGTGGACCTAACAAAAAGATTTTAATAGCATTTTTTCTGTTGTAAAAATGTTGATTTCTATATATATATATAAATTCTATTTGACATTGTCTGTTATTATTTAAACGGTTAAAATTAGTCGCTTTTGTTGGAAAAATCAGCAGTCGTTTTTGTTGGATCTGCAACTTGTACCTCCAGAGAATGACATTTTAAGTAACAGTGATACATTTTTACTGTCATTAGGCCTTTCAGTGTCATTTGAAGACAAAACTGTCTTCAAAGTTTTGTTTTTTCTAGTTTCTATAGGAAATGTTTATCAAAAATTAAAGATTGGTCATGTACCTTTTGCAGCTCTTAAAGAATTGTTTGACACAAATATGTTTTTGTTGTTGTTTTTTTGTAATATAAAAGATCCATTTGTTTGTCTTATAGTAAATTAAGACCTACTTGCCTTTTCTGCCTGACATTTTTCAGAACTGCTTGATAAAGTTCCTATAGCTTTTGTGTTACTTTACTGTGTTATTTTAGAAACACAGTATAAACAGTTCTCTCAACTCTATTTTGGGATATAACTTTTATTTCTTTTGTATTTCTTAAGGATGAGGATTGGGGACACACATCCCATTACAGATTAACCACGTTACCTGCTGATGTATGCACAAAGCTTTATTTAAGCTAATTAAGTAGAACTTGGAGAGGCACATTATTTGATTAATGTTTCCGGGGACTCTTTGAAGAGGCACTGCTCATCATTCTAAGTGGTAAGGTATGATTCAGCCTTTCTAATCTAATTCTGATTAACAGGAAACTGATCGTCCTTTCAGGAGTGGTCCAGACGATGGCTTCAGCAGTCCGACGTGGGATAATTCTAAACAGAAAGGTACAAGGTTATCTTGGTTTATACTTTAAATATATTGAAAAAAAGGATACATGTTTTATAGGTTATTCATTTGTAATTCAAACTAATTTCAAGTTATACCAGCTGTTCAATGCCCATTTTCCTTACCACTCTTTGTCTTAAAGGTAATGTGGAGGATTTTTCAAAAGACTCGCCCTCTCCACTTTAAATAAAGAAATGCACATGCAGGAGCATGCACTTTTTCTCCTCGTGCACACACTGTTAAAAATGTTTTGGTCTCATAGCTCATACAAGCTTGCTGCGTCCATACAGTGGGGATTATATAGGGGACTTTATAGCGAACTTAGTTATCTGACCATTCGGACAGATGATCACTGCTTGTTTCTCCGTTGGTCACGTAACTCCTCCTTCATGCAGTACCTGCACCATCTTTATTATTAGTCGCCACTCCCAGGTAGCGACAGCTGGCCACAGTGACAGCAAGTCCCATAATGCTTTGCAAGGAGAGCTCTCCGCACAAAGCATTCCAGAATATATCTGCCTTTTCTGAGGCCTTTCTTTCTTCTCATACACTTCGTAGACACTTTTTCCCTTACGACCAGGCTTCAATGACTGTCTGAACTCGTAGCTCACCACACATATATGCCTTAAAGTGCACATGTGAAAAGAAAGGTAGCTAACTGGGCGAGCACGTAGGATGGCCTTACATAAACATATTCCCAGAATGATTGACAATTAGGAGGACCGCTTGTTTAAATGATCCATCCGGCGATAAAAGATCGTCCTTTATACCTTTAACTTCCTTAAAGTGTTTTTGGCAAATCAACTTGTTAATGTAATTTATGATGGTTTAAATCTAGTTTCATAGAGGTAGACTTACATTTTAAAACTGATTTCACAGATAATTATTTCACAGATCAGATAAATTAATTAAAACCAAGTTAATTTGAAGTAAAACATGCATTTAGCTACCTTTTAGAAGAGCTCTCAATTTTATGTTTATTTTTGTCTTTTTTTTAATACTCTGAGATTACTATTTAAGTGAACTCACGTCACAGTTTATAAAATGATCTAAACTGCCCTCAGTGATATAGTTTGATAAATATTCATAAAACATTAATGTTCCACAATATAAATTAAACATTATAATTTATTCAATAAGGAAAATACTGTCTCTGCATGAAATACTTAAATATCAGATAGAGCAGAGCTTAACAGATGTAATCACATTTTTATTAGTGACACCCCATTATTTTTTATTAGACTAAAACAAGCAGACCACATCACCACACAATCACACCTGCATTCTGAAAATGATTCAGTCTGAAGTGCAAAGTAGATCTATTTACTTCTCCACAAAGTGCCAAGCCAGTAGTTGTTAAGCTTCAGTAATTATGTATGAGAGGCCCTGGATCAATAATGGATGTGTTGTGTTCTGCAACACTGTGCAGATTGATCCTCACTAAATCCCCGCGTCTGAGCATATGATGGAGAGGAGTTACAGTGAGTACAGATGAGGTGTTTTTGCAAATGTCAAATCATCAGGTGCACAACCTCCCCGCTATATTTGCCCGTTCATCTTAAAGGTTGTATTTGTTTGCAAGTATTGCACCGGCACTGAGTATGACCAAATAGCTTTAATATTGCATTTGTTTGTAGCAACTTGGTGGGGACTACCATTCAAATAGTCATGCAGAACATGCAAAAAAACAAAACAAAAAAAACTTTCCATTCTTTACAGGTAAAAGTATTTTAAAGAATTCTGTGTTTTGTTATTTCTTAAAGCAGATCTTGCCGCTGTGACTCAACTTGTGTGCAGCTACATACCAGAGGCTACGTTTTTGGAGAGCATCGGTCAAGAGATCACCTTCATCCTGCCCTACAGCGGAGCCAGAGATGGGACCTTTGCCACACTCTTCCACAAGCTTGACCTTTCCATGGGCAAACTCGGCCTGACCAGCTATGGTATCTCTGACACCACATTGGAGGAGGTAAACTTAATGCAACACTGACAGCACCAAAAAAAAAAACAAAAAACAATAGGCTCACTCCAAAAGTCTTACAAGAGTTCAACCCTTATTTTATTTGTTATGTTTTTTTTTTTTCTTAATTCAGTAAGGGTAAAATCCCTAGTTAAGGTATTTTTTTTAAACAATCAGTGTCACAATGAAATAGGAAAAAACAATCTCTTTTAAATACAATTAGCTTATACAATTTTATGCATACTTAACATTTTTAAGTTCATCAGTATAATAAGAATTTTTAAATCATTCTAATACGTGTTTTTTTTTTCAGATTTCCCATAAATGAGAATGTGGTATGAAACAGAGGCCAATTTCTTTTAGAAACTGTCCTAATCTATGAGCCATGCTTATCTTGTCATCTATCAGGTATTATGAGCAGAAGGTGACACACTTTCCAAAGCCCAGTGTTAAACAACTATAGGAAAGAGTGACATCTCTGTTCCCTTTGCAAGCAAGATGAATCGTCATGAGACTTGGGAAGACACAAACTCCCGAAAATACATCTTACTTACCAGGAGCCAATAAATGCATTAGCATCGATACATACAGTAAATGTTTCAGACTAATCAAATGCTGTAACGTGTATCAACCATAGGAGAAGGCTGAAGTAAAACAAACATGGCTGCCTTTGGTTTTTGCTGGAATACCCTCTATTTCTTATTGATAAGAACACAAAAGGGTGAGATTTTTGCCTTTGTGGATGGGAAAGATGTTCGATTGATTTATCAGTTAACTCCACTAGTTGTGAAACTGATCTAGAATGTGATACATCACAGCTGCTACTGCAATTGGCTATAATCTTGACAGGGGAAGCAGGTGACATTCGCTCGGCGAATTGTACTATATGTCCCTCCTTTTTGCAAAAACTTAATTCTGGAGGCTTTCCAGATGGACAGTGTGTAGAAATCAAATTGAACTATACATGTCAATCTGGTTAATGACAAGTTAGCATCTCTGGGTCAACAAATCGGATATTAGAGATTATTTACATGCCTATATGTACTGGTTTTGGTGGTCATGCCTAGAAATAATTTTCTGTCTCACTACCAAAACTTAAATGTGGAGATTATTATTAATAATAATCTAAAAATCAAGATTTGGGGAAAAAGCTATAAAAATATGTTAGGCGTCCAAACAAAATATAAATATGTGGAAAACACATTATCATTACTCTGACGTATGGTGGAAGATGTGAGATGCTCTGAGTGTTCTTCTTACACTAATGGCAGAGGGATCACACTGAAGCAGGTTCTGCTGGAGGTTTTTTTTTCTGTTAAAAGGGATTTTTTTTCCCCCTCCACTGTCGCTGCAAGCATGCTTGGTGTGAGTGATTGCCTCCGAGTCTGAGTCTATGAAATCAGCTGTTTTTCTTTAGATATAACCAATCTGACTGTATGATCTGGTTGAATTGTCTCTATAAAGTGCCTTGAGGTGACATGTTGAGAAATGGCGTTATATAAATAAACTAAATTGAATTGAATCTAGTTGACTGTATTTGAGTTTTTCTGCTGGATATAGATCCAAAACGTTTGGTAGATTCATATAATAATTTTAACCTTCTTTCAAAACAGTCGTAGACTCCAGACTGAAATGCCATTGAAAACCTTAGATTTATGCTGATGAAGATTCTCAGTCATCTAGGTCATAGTCATTCCGTCCAATCCACTGGACTTGGTTTGGTTTGGTCTTCAAACATTGGAAACCAAGTCCAGTAGATTGTTTTAAAACTTTTATGGAAAACCTTAGATTTGAGCTGAAGCAAGGAGAAATCATACAATAGGATCCAGGACTCAGATATACTATTCAAAGATATTGAGGAAACATGAGGACTTAAGTGCTGATTATTAAACAGTTCCAGGTAGTTGAACATAGCACAGGACCATCTATAAAACATCTTCTGTACTTTAGTTAAAAATAATTGTTTACCAAGTTCTTTTCAGAAACTACTCAAATCCAAGAAAAGATATCACAAAAACATGTTTGTGTGAGAATATACTACAGCAAATTCTTTCATGCTCATACGTGCCTATACCAGGATTTCAAAGTATGCCTAATACTACTAATACTGTAATTAACAATTTATGTTGGAACATTTCTTACCTGCTGTTTAAGTTTATTCTATTAGTAAACTGAAAATATACTATTAAAAGCCACACTTTCTGTATTCTTGATTTTTCACTACAGTAAATCGAAGCTATAACTTATTCCAGAGCAACAGCAACAGTTAGAGCTGAATGTGTTTCTGTTAACCAATCATGATCCGTTTCAGTACAGTTTCTTACTTTTTGAAGCAACTTGTTTTTTCTTTTTTCTTAAAATTGGTGTTAATAATATGAAGATTAGCTTCTTTCACTATTTCAGCCACTTGCGTCAGTTTGCTTTCATAGAGATGTTATTTTTTTTATTTTGGCCGCATATATCAGCGACATCACAACTAGAAACTGACAATATGTCCTTGGTGATTGTAGGACTTTAGGTTTCCATTTGAACTGACAGGTTCTATATGGCTCCTATAATATTACACAGATATAATATCAAAGAGGTTTTATTTATATGTATTTATTTTCCCATGAAGATGACTCATGATGTGAGGGTGCTGGGCAGACGTGCCGTTTGATCACAAACGTGCATGACTGTTGGCTAATGCTCTTCATGTAACTTAGACATGCCAGAAAATCATGGCCAGAAGGCAATGTAAATAATTCCTTTTAAATTTACAAAATGTTACCATGACAAGCCTTTTTTTCCCCCATACACGCATTTCATCTTCTGAAGCCTGAATACACACTCAGATGATTATTCGAGTGTTATTAAACACACGTGAAGATATCGAAGCAGTAAAAGTTGGTTGAAACAAACAAACAAAAAATAAAAATCCCAACTGTTTAGGAGTTTGGATATTTGCTGTAGTGTTAAATGAGGAAATTAAAATAAGTGTTAGAGGAGAGGGTCTTATTTTTGTTGTGGCACTAATCAGAAGGGGATCCCCCAAGAGCGGCTGATGTTCACCATGAGGGGTTTGAAACAAGATAAGGTAACAAATGGCTTGATCTCTAAGCACAGAGAAATGAGCAGAATAAGTAAATAAGGCTGAAAGGGGGCTCATTATTAAAAAAGCTACACAGCATGCAATGAAATACCTTTTTTTTAGCAGGAACCTTTTTCGTTTTTACCTCCACCTATGAAAGGTCTCCTAGGTTCTTTGTATCCATAAAGGCACTTTAAAATAAATAAAGTTCGAAATTAGGTTATAAGTCCTGTGTCATATATCAGCAATGATTCATCTTATATGTTTGTAATAAAGCATCCTGTGTTTTTTATTTAATTATTATTATTTTGTCTATTCCACAGATATTTCTGAAAGTGGCAGAAGATACCGGTGTGGATGAAAGTATACCATGTGAGATAAGAAAATATTTGCATGACAAACTGAAAATGGTGTTATATTTTTACTTACAGTAGGGAAGTTTATTTTATTTTTATTTCTTTTTAATTATCTACTTGATTGCTTTCTTACTTCTGTACTACAGTTTCTAGTTAGAAGTTTTACTGTCAAACACTTGTTAGTTTCAAAAAGTAAACACATCTTTCTCAAATAAAACTATCCCAGTAGCATCCATCCATCCATCCATCCATCCATCCATCCATCCATCCATCCATCCATCCATCCATCCATCCATCCA